CTTGTGATGTTCATTAGACCATTCAAAAGTGTAAAATGATTTAACACAGAAGTATTCAAATGCTGATTTAACGCTTATGTAATAATACTGGCTGAGTTTTCTAGATATTCCTCAAACCAGTCATTACAGTCCTTCACAAGTCTCCCAAATAGCGCCACAAAACATGGTCCTCAGCCACCTAATCGTCTTCCTGCATGTCTTACCAGGTTGTCACACTCCATCTAGTAGCGGCCACTCTACCGCCGTTTACTGGTACGAAGCTGCCACTCAAAAACCTTTCTTCCATCTACATAATTTTTTCATAATTAACTACTTTTTTATTTCAATAATTTCAAAATTAGTGTTCGCTACAAAGAAGGAAACGTTATAAAATATTTATTCACTATAAAAATTAACGTCCATATCTTTCTTATTACTCCAATTACTTCTAGTTTTAGCTTAATTTGACAATATCAACGCAGAAAATTTTATAATGAGCATCCATTCTATTCGTCTAAATATTGAAATAAGTTCTCTTATGAAATGACATTTTATGATTTTATTAATGGACAATGGCGAGATTTCACCTGAATAGGTTATTAGGAGGGTCTTTTGCATGAAAGAGAATAAATTGTTAATTTAATGGAGAGTCCATTAAATACAGTAGGTATTGTTTTACTGCAATTTAATTTGTAACATATGCACAGTCTGCATTAAGATTTACGTCATACTTTTAGTATTTTATTACTTATATTTATTTACATAACATTCGAATAATACAATAATAAAAAAGCATAATAAAAAACTAAAACTAAAAACTTATGTTATCATACAATCCTACTCCATATACTTTAACTTTTAGTTATAACTTTAATTGGTTAGTTTTTGTTTTAAATTTTCTTTTATATTTTTAATGAAAGGGTGTAAAATTGTAGCCATTTTAATTTTTAATTTGTTTTTAAATATTTTCATATTTCTCTTTTTACTTGTTTCTTTTTAATTTTATTTATCAAAGCACTATGCCATTTTATATGGCATGGCCATGGTTTCAGTCTCTGAATGTACATACCAGTTACTAGACTCCACAGAATTAGTAATTCATTTATGGGGAAATGTATACGCTTTTACAATAAAATCCCAGAACATATTCAAAGTTTGTCAATAAACAAGTTTAAAAGTTTTATTAAAGAAAAACTGTATAAAAAGGGTTATTATAATATCAAGGAATACATGAATGAAAATAACCCCTGGGAATAAGGTGGTCGCCACCATGTTGGTTCTATGAAAAATCAATTAAAATTGTATACACGAAATTATTGTTAAGTGATGTTTAAAAAAAGTCCCGCTGGGTTTCTTGCTGGTTCTTCCCAGGACAGAGGTATTTTCCGAACCAGTGGTAAATAAAAAATGACTTTCAATAAGAGTTATGTAATAATCAATATTGAATAAAAATTATTTTATTCTATTCTATTCATGTAGTTACTATATATTTATGTACTATATACTATACAGGTTTATTTTGCAATAACTGGCCAAATTTGTAAAGAAGGGTCTTAATAAGTAATACATACAAATGGTAAAGAAAAATTTATAGAAAAAATCTCAAACATTTTGTCCTTTTTTCTTTTAAATTCGAAATTCATGGTAATGCATTATTTTATTTTTTATTATTTATTTTAACTGATTTTCCTGCTCACGCATATATTCGTAAGGGTCAATCGGTACGCTAAAACGTACGAGTAGTTGCCCATAAATCTCATTATTTTTGGGATAATTTCAAATAAAAGCTCGTATTTTCAAAAACTGCAATAACGGTGTATCATTATTTATATATTTAAACTTAAGTTTAAAATTTGGCTACTCTTTGAAAAATAACCTTTTCTAGTTTTTTTTTTATTATATTAGTATGTTGTTGTGTTATGTACATCAATCGTTTGAGCTAAACTAAAGCGTTTCTTTCTTTCCTTCTTTCTTTCATTCTAAATTATACATAATTCGCAACGCTTTATTCTTCTCATTCACGACGTAACTTTAAAGATATTTCACATATTACGATACATACATTTCAATAGTAACATAGTGTATTGGGTTTGGATTTATATTTAATAATTATAGGAACCCATCTCTATTGAAACTCGCTCGTTCTGCGTAGATCAAAAATCAAAAATTATTATTCATAAGCTGAATGTAGCCGAGTTAACTATGACATCGGGACATCAAACTCCTCAGTCCCCTCAAACGTCAAGAGTTAAAAAGTTAAAATGAAACGCTTAGTTTCATTTAATCTAACTTGATTTCTTGTTTCATTGACAGCTACATATACACAATTTTTCCTAGTTATCCAATAATGCATACTTACGACTAATAACTGAAAAAAAAAACGGATACACTAAACACCAAAAGGCGCCATCCATTATGACTATTTATCCGAGGTTCCCAGACTACTACGGTCACTGGTAATTGCCAAAATTTGTCATCGGCACAACGTGATATTTGAGGTATATTGCAAGCTCCAAGATTAAAGTTTAAAAGGAACATGCAATGTAATAAAATAATTAGAAATTAAAACAAACGTTAAATCGTTAACAATGTTCATAGTGACCGTAATTGTTAAATATTTCAAATAAAATTAACTAATTAGAAGATAATTTGACGTCGATACAGGCTAACAATTAAAACTCTCTTTGCTCATCTACTGACAAGATCTAAATGTCGCTACTTCAAAGCTCTAACTTTGAAGATACGATATTACACAATTATTGAGGTCATACTTTAGTTGTGTAATAGCTGTAAAGGTCACCTTTTAGTTGAGACTTGTGATACTAATATTTTATTTGAAAACCAGAGATTTCAGTTTCAACCCAGTTAAAAAAAGAAAAACATTATGTTATCGACGGGAATATTTTTTATTTTATTTATGTTTACCGATTTCTCGGAAATTGTTGCACCGGTTTAAATTATTCTTTTTTTTATTAAATAGATTACACTTCTGGCTGGTCATATAAATTTAAAGTAAAAAACCATCCCTAAGGGTGAAAAATCAAGGAATAACGATTTTGACGTTCTAGTTTTACCCTGAACTTGTTATATTCCTTAGACCACTCCAAAAGAAGCCGTGGTAGCTCAGGGGCTTGACGCTCGCTGTAAATTTCACAATACACGAGAATCCCGCATTCGATTCCCGCCGGCACAAATGAAATTGTTAGTTGCAATTTTAATTGCTGTTTTACTACGAGCTCGGCGGTGAAGGAAAACGTCATGAGGAAACCTGTATGTCTGTGAAATAAGAAAAACTAAATATTTCGGAGACATGTGAAGTTCGCCAACACGCATTGGGGCAGCTCAGTGGACATTTCCTTGCCCTAAAACGCTCTCAGAAATAAGAGGAGGCCTGTGCCCAGCAGTGGGACGTATATTAAGCTGCAATTTTAACTTTAACTTTAACTCCAAATGGTAAAATAATTAAACTTTTAACTTAAAATATAGAACCAACTTCAAAATTTTAAAAATAAACCACACAATATATTCGAAAATCGGGGCTTTACTCGTAACAATTCGATACACTATATCTTAGTACCGACTACAGAACCTATTATGTAGTTTTTTTTTTTACTTCGAAGAAGGTTCTAATAAAATATATAAATAAAATCATCGTTTGAATATTTAAATATCTGTATTTAATATATTTGACTACAATTTTCTGCTGAGTGTGTAATAGAAATTCAATAAAAAAAATCATGACAAAACTACAAGCTGATTATGAATTTAAAAAAAAATAATATCCATACAATAAACCTTATTTCAATAGCAATTATGTAGAAATAATTACTTTTTAGTTTTTGAAATCCGTTCGTACTTTTTATTATTTTTATTATTTCTCCCTTTGAGTTGTCTGAAGTTATCACAAGATAAAGAAAACAAATAGAATATCGTCTAACATTACTTACACAGCGTCACGCCTGTAATCCCCGGCGACAGGCACAGCGAACAAAAACAGCAGCGAACTACTCAAACCAATGCAAAAAATGGGTTTCGATGGAAAATTGTAAAAAGTGATATAGCCCTTGACCTCCACACTCACAAATCCCATTAGACGCCTTTTATGACATACTGGGAAAGTAAAACAGTTGTCACATTCTTGTTTGTTATAAGTCCCAAATAGAAAGAAACATAAGACCTATAAATCCCAGATAAACATGGGACCAATGTAGTTTAAATAGTTACATTAAAAACTACATCACCTATTTACAATATACACATTCACAAAAAAATAATTTTTAAATCGGTTCATCCTTTCGTGAAATCAGTGAACATACTTAAAAAACGTATGCGTCGAATATAGAAACTTCCTATTTTTTTTTTACTCGATACAAATAATATATAAAAATGACACTTGTGCACAAACAATATACAATTAAATTATGCTATGTTTTATAAAGAAGAAATAGAACACTTTTATTCAATATGATTATAACTAATATTTATTGAAAGTCACTCTTTTGTTTAATTGCCACTGGTTCGAAAAAAAAACCTCTGTCCTGGCAAGAACCAGCAAGAAACCCAGCGGGACTTTTTTTTAAATAACACCTTATAATCATGTATGTTGCACAATTAACAACACAAACAAATTAGAAATAGCTTGGTAGCGATCACCTCATTGCCAGGGTTTATTATCATCCATAAATTCCTTAATAAATTATAATAACCCTTTTTATACAAACTTAGTTTAATAAAGTTTTTGAAATTTGAGCAGGTTCAATTTTGTATATTTTCTGGGATGTTGTTGTAAAAGCGTATACATCGCCCCAAGAATGAATTACCGACTCGGTGGAGTCGAGTAATTGGTACTACTAGCTTGTGTCTGTTCCTAGTATTTACAGAATGAACATCACTTATTTTTGTAAAACTACTTTTATTTTTGTGTTTCGTACATTACATATATATATATAACATTACATTTATTAATTTTAAGGAAATATATTATTTAGACAGTCTCCATTAAGTATTTTTACTGGCTTTAGGTCGCAGTTGCGGTAGAAGAAAGACGATGGTGGTATCCAAGAGCAGCACTCCAACTTCGAGTCCTCGCTCCACCAGACTCCATGATGTGTCTAATTGGCGCACGATCTCCGCCTGACGCTCGGTTTGATCCACATCAACAGTAAGTAATACAATAAAAATTATAATTCAATATCTTCAAATTATGCTATACCGGCTACCTATGACATCAGGACGTCAAACACCTCTGTCCCCCCGTGACCATGGGTGCTGCAAAGCACTCGAAACGTCGGGAATTAAAAAGTTAAATTAAACGCGATAAAATCCTTAAAAATTAGTTTCATTTAATGTGTAGTCTTCGCGTAAATATAAGAAATCATTATATTTTACCACTCATGCATACATTCGTAAGGGTCGATCGGTCGGCAAAAACGTTGTGAATTGAATCGCACACCCACGTATGCGTAGTTGTTGTCCATAAATCACTTTCAGTTTGGGATAATCTATAAATAAATATAATAAATCTGTAGATAATTTGTGTGTACACGATTCACACAAAAACTAATAGATATTTTTCCATGAAACTTTGTATGTAGACAGTAAATTATCGTGTATAACATATAGGCAACTTTTTATCTGCTTACGAAAGAGTTAAAAAAGGTTATGTTTTGCCATTTTTTTATTATTTTCAATATGGCTTCTCGTAGTTCTATTAGTCCTAAAGAGTATTTAGCTATACGTATAATAAATCTATAGAAAAGTGTGTGTGTGTGTGTGTGTGTGTGTGTGTGTGTGTGAAAATAAACGCCACTAACCAGAAAGGGCAGAATAACCAGCCAGCTAGTTTCAAATAAAAGTGTTATTTAATTAATTATTTTCAAAATCTGCTATAACTTAAGTTTAAAATTTGGCTACTCTTAGAAAAATAACCTTGTATACATGGTTCCATACAATAAATGATGCGATTAAATTTTACCTCTATTCTGCGTAATTTTTCTTCTCAAAATAATCAAATACACGGGCCATAGATTCATAGAGCAACACGGGGTGGCCGATAGAACAGTAACTTTTCTCTTTTAGGCGAAGGTCTATAGAGTCAAAAAACTATGTCTACAAAACAAAAACGTGACAGTGCGGCTCATAAAGTTTTAACGTTATACATGATGTTGTAATTATTTTGTTTGAAAATGAACCTTGTTTTTTGCCATAGTAACGAAATTCCATATATATATATATATATATATATATATATATATATATATATATATATGTAATGCCATAGTAAAAAAAGACTCTTAGATTAGTAGATAGTGTATGACAGACTATTCATTTAATGTTTAATGAGAAATATTTATTGCACCACTTTACAATTAGTATTTAATCGCCGCTTACTCCGTATCCAGTAACATTTCCGACGGTGGGTCGTTGTAAATCATTCTGCTGCACCTACACGCGATCTGATACGGATCATTAATCAGGCGGCGCGTTGAAAATAGCATGTCAACTATATTGAAAGAAGTTCTTTGCCTTTTGAGTATCTATCGACGAATTATCTCTTTGCACTTTCATCATGACATTACTTTTGAAAACTGACTTTTGACTGCCTCGTTAGTCTAGTGGTTGTAGTAATGCGACTGCTGATCATGAGGTCCCGGGTTCGAATCCCGGGTCGGGCAAAAAAAAACAGTTATTGAGTTTTTCCATCAAGAAATTCTCAGTAGCTGCCCGGAGTCAGGAAGTTGGCAGTGTCTCACCCCTGTGCCTCGGAAAGCACGTAAATCCGTTGGTCCTGCGCCTGATCTCTCTCCGGTCGTGTCGGTTTACCGTCCCATCGGACTATGAGAGTGAGGGTATAGAGAGTGCACTTGTGCTTGCGCATACACTTGGGCACTATAATCCTGTCCTGCGCCGATGGCTAGTCCGTTGAGGCTGGTGCCTCACCGAACCTCACCTCGCCGTGACCGAAATTCGGTCTGGAAGACATTATTATTATTATTATTACTTTTAAAAAAGCCATGTAGAAAGAATGAAGGAGGAAATACAAAGCAAATTTATGGTATAGAAGCGAACGGCAGAATCGGTAGGGACGCCCTAGATGAAAGTTTATCGACCAAATTGGCGATATATTGAAGATGGGCCATATTAAAAGTATCCTTAACCGACGAGCATGCATTCGTATGGATGTAAAGGAGGCGAGAGAGGTGTGTCAGGATCGTGCTAAATGGCAGTCTGTCTCTGCCCCCTTTGGGTGACAGGCGATAGTTTTTATGATAAGATTATGTTTTGTGTGTATGTGTATGTTTAAATTCACCGCGCTGCTTTAGCGCGGACGGGCCTCACATGTCCTTAATATATTTTATTTCTTAGACCAATCCAAGTTCAATCCCTACCTGTACAATTGAGATTGTTAATTGTGATTTAAAGTGCTAATTAACGACAGACTGAAGGGAAACATTGTAAGGGTAAGTAACGTTGCAGCCTATTTACGTCCCACTGCTGGGCACAGGCCTCCTCTCAATCCTGAGAGGGTTTTGGGGCAAGGAAATGTCCGCCGCGCTGTCCCAATGCGTGTTGGCGAACTTCACATGTCTTCGAAATATTTTTTTCTTATTTCTTAGACATGCAGGTTTCCTCACGATGTTTTCCTTCACCGCCGAGCACGTGGTAAATCAGCACTTAAAATTGCAAATAACAATTTCATTGGTTCCGGCGGGGATCGAACCCGGGTTGCTCGAGTACTGTGAAGCTTACAGCGAGCGCTAACCATCTGAGCTACCACGGCGGCTTGTAAGGATCAAAGCCACGATAGGCTACTTTTAAGAGAAATTATACCTTTGATTTTAGTCTACAATCATACTGATTAGTTTTTTAAACTTTTGTTTAATCTTTAAATTGTTTTTTTTTTATTGAATGTGTCAAACCACCATGTGTCACCCACAGCCAGCTTCTTTCTGATATTTAAGTGATATCTTTGATTAATTCTACATCATACTGGTTAGCTTCTATGTTTATTCCTACCTTTAGCTCGTTTTTAATTTTATTTATTAAATTGTAGTGTCAAACGCGCTTATAGTCCACCTGATGGTAAATGGTTATTGCAGTCCATGGACATCTGCAGTCGACACAGCCTATAACACTGGTTCTCTTTACGTATGTTCCGGACACAGCAATGCACGCACTGATGTTTGACGGCAGAACTGTTTTTTCTATAGGATAGGGTGACAAACGATCACACAGTCCACCTGATGGTAAGTGGTTGCTGTGACCCATTGACATCTACATCTATCCCCAATAAAGAATCAAAATGTAGATGCGTTGTCACCCGTGAGGACTAAGATGGAATGTCTCTTTTCCAGTAAAAAGGGTCTCCGATTCTGTACACTCACCATACGAAACACAGTAGTGTTAAGATGCTATGTTACGCTGGTATTCAGAGAGAGCTTGTTCCATCTCCGGTTAAGCTGACCCATTCGTGCTTTATCTATACTACTAATATAGTTGCAGCATGGCTCTACCACGTATAACTACGTATACGATAGATAGGAGGAGTGTGGTGGTATTTTTGAGCAGTTTCTACACTGCGTCACAATCTTGAATCTAATGTCTATTTGTGTGCAATTATGTGTATCTTCAAATAAAGATGTTTTTTTCCTTTCTTTATTTTTCAATTTTTATATCATATTTTAAAAAGTCGTCCTTAAATCTCTTTTAAATTATGCCAACTACTAACAAAGGTCAAAGAGAATAGCATGTGACAAGCTATAGCAGCGGAAAACTAATCTCGCACTAGTTTCTGCATAACAATTGTGAAACGGAATGAAGACCTGATTTTCTGCTTTCATTCCGACCAACAGGGTACATCGTATAATGTGATTTTCACAATGGAAAAGGAAGCAAAAGATAGAACGTTGTTATTAAATTAAATATTTTGCTTCACGCTTAATTTCTTTATATTCAATGTTAATTTAAAGTATACGGAGTCATTTGCACATAAAAGGAAATTTATGAAATTTATTTTCTTATAAATATAATTTTCTGCCAAAATTTTCTAGAATCCAGGCCAAATCCAACATTTGTGCAAAAACGCCAATATTGGCTATTGTCACTTATCTTAGCTTACCTCCAATTTATAACATAAGCGTTATATTGGATGTGGGTGTGCCACTTTCTGCGTGTATACTTGCAGCACGAGTATAACGTTTCCCGTAAAATTCCACTGTTGGACATAAGTCTCTTCTATTGCAGGGAGGATTTGGCGAAATCGTCACACTTGGTAGGTGGATTGAATCGCAGTAACTCACATCACATATCTTAGATGCTGCATCCAGTCTTTGCGATATATGGTGTAAGATATTATTCACCTGGCGTAAACGAGATATTTCCGCCGCTTAGACGATGATACTGCGGCACCGAAAGCTATAAGACAACTAGGCGTACGTATGATTAAACTTGAAGTGTCTGTCTGAGATAGCAAAATAACTGCCTTTTATTAAAATAAAAATTGTCTACGTGGTAGAGCCATGCTGCAGCTATATTGGTGGTATAGTTTTAGTACGAATGGGTCATCTCGACCGGGGAAGGACCACGCTCTCACAGAATACCAGCGTAAAATAGCAGCTTACCACTGCTGTGTTTCGTATGGTGAGTGTAGAGAACCGGAGTCCCTTTTTACTGGAAAAGAGACATTATATCTTAGTCCTCACGGGTGACAACGCATCTGCATTTTGATTCGCAAACGAGGATAAATGTATAGATGGCTATGGGCCACAGCAACCACTTACCATCAGGTGGACTGTGTGCTCCTTTGTCACCCTATCCTATAAAAAAAGCAATTTCTGGAGTGATCTAGGTTATATTTGACATTAAAAAAAAATTATAAAATAAATGGACTTCGTTCATTATCTCAAATATAAGTAACGCCATAATACAATACATCCTACTCAGGCGAAACCAAGGCGTGTTGCTAGTAAATAAATAAATTTAAAAGTCCTTGCGGCGTCACACCCAAACGCTTAGTCACTGCGCCACCAAGTCGTAAGTCATAATTTGAATTAATTTATTTTCATTTTTATTGACTTATATACGTATGGATATAGAGTGAAAAAATATTTTTCTTTCATGACAGATTATATTACCGCGGGAACATAAAATTGACGCTAACTT